GGTGGCAGTACTACCCTGGACGAAATCTTTCACAAGGAGCTCTACTGGTAATAAATAGTTGTGTAAAGAGGGTCTTAAAGTCGAGTAGGTACTATAGAAGCCCTAACGTAGCTCAGATTGCTTTGCGTAGAGGTACTTTTATAAGAAAAGTCAATAAATATAATTCTAGCATGTATTCAATTTGGAATCTAGTTTCGAATTGCCAAGATCTTCTTATCTTTTTTCTCTCATTTTTTTAAATAGTTTCTAAACCCAAACCTATTTTCAATCAGCCAGTATTTCTACTCATAGAGTAGATCCTATACTACAGTACTGTGTTTAGGCCACGAGGCTTTGCCCAGTGACCTAAGTAATATGTGACTAATTAGGTATAGTCTTTTTTTGAAGACGGAGTAAATTGACAGTTGATGGCGCAAAAGTGTTGCCCGCTTGCGAGCAGCTAGTGATTACAGTTGATAAATATTCTATCGACTGAATATTGAATAGAACAGAATAGACATTTATTGCAACGCCACAACACATAGACGCAAAAAAAAATTTATAACACTTAGACAAGCAAAACAGATTAAAAAGAGTTAATAAACAAAATTAAAATATAAAAAAAGAAACTAAATATAACGACTACAAATGTTGTACTGTCATTTGTGCGGTTGTGGCGTACGAAAAAGGACTTCATTTAGGTTATGCCACAGCCATAATCGACTGTGGCGCTGGTTTTCAATGAACGCCGAGCTTAGATGTGTGACTTACGTGTGTGTTGCGAAACAAAATGAACTAAAATTAACTGCTTAAATATTTGTGTATGAATTCTTTGTAGGTTGTGTTATTTGGACGAGCTTATGGAATAAATAGCCGAACTTCTTTCATCTCAATCATCTTCGGCCCATTATTCGTTCAGATACCGAGCACAGGTTCCATTCAATTGCCAATTTTTGTAAGTTTCTATATTGTATTTAGAACTATGTCTACGAAAAGTACAAAGAGGAGACATATTTTTAAAGTTTTACATTATAATTTACTTTAGATAATAAAACTCGCCTATTGTTAAAATGATTATGAATAAAATTTTATTTCGATACTAGTACGCCAACTGTAAACCAATGAATGTGAGTGAGAACAAAAAAGACAATAACGCAATAACTAGTAGTCATTAGAACGTTGTAACATTCACAATCCAATATTTTTTGTCAAAACATTATCTTTTTCTACAATCTATCGATAAAATTGTCGACAACAGCTACATGACTATTTTAAATTTTATGAAAACTGGCAACCCTGCCAATGTCACTTTACTTCGTTTTCAAAAAGACAGACTATAAGTAATGATTGCATGCAATACTATTTCTACCAGTAAACTCAACCGAAAGCTGCAAAACAAAAAAAAAAGAAAATAGAATAGAAGTGTTCGTGATTGGCCAAGAAGAGCGCGATTTATATTCTCTATGCGAAAATAGTAGTACTCGTCGTGCTAGCCCTACAGGAAGCAGTGGAGCGTTTGAGTAGCAAAAAGCGTTCTTTTATGAAATTTATTATAGTTCTATATAAAGGGTGGCCTACTATGAGCTCTTACAGCAATCCTGATCTAGCCCTTAAGTTAGATTGTCTGTCAAGTTCGTACTATGATCTCACAAAAACAATTCACTTTCCATGTAGTTTACGTTCAGTCGTTCACCATTCAAAATCCGTTCAACCTTTTTTTTCCATAGGAAAAAAGTTACTTTTTAGGAAATTTCGATTAAGTTTCATAATATTTTCAGTTCCATAAAATATATATGTATTATTATGATAGTAATATTTTTTTACCTCACTAGCTCGGAAAGGCTTTCTTTCTCCGAAATAGAAATCTGCGCGCAAAAGCGTTTTTAAATCGAACTTGACGATGAATTGTGGTGCACCTAACTTATTCTTTCGATGAAAAAAAAACAATGACACGTTCAACTACGCGATTTGTCGTATACATTATTTATGTAATATAAATTATTATTATTGTTGACATTAAATTGAAAACGATAACTGTTTTTGTTTCATCTACCCTTTTTACTCGCTATAGCTTTTTTTAAATAATATAGTGAGGTGAAAAGTTGTATGTTTCGCTCGGCAGCAAAGTTGTTTTGCGTCTCGTGTCTTGAAACCATCGCTACGCCCAGGATTTTATTTTTGAACCACTCGCTTTGCTCATGATTCAATTTTAGAATCCTTCGCGTGCTCAGGTTTCAAAACAAGCACTCGCTTCAAACAACAATTTGCAACCTTACATAACAAATAACTATTGTGTGCTTCCATAAAAGACTAAAATGAAGAAATCCCGTGTGGCTGTTCACCAGCTGCACATTACTTACCGCTTGGCGGCAGAAATAGGTAAGACTACAGACCACATAAGGTAAAACAACTTCCCCGGACGAACTCTTTCGCAAGGAGTTGTACTCTTATTAAAGTTGTGGTCTTCTTATGTATTAAATGCTCTTTTGACGGATGTATATGACGTACTCATGTGTGTTTATATTATACCAAGGATTCGACATGTATATCTGTTTTACCTGAGATACCTGAGTCCTTTGAAGAGTTCTGGCTCCGAGTTCTTTCGTCAGGTGAGCGTAGTTTTGATGAACTACCGCCTGTTGATATATACAGGAGTTTAATACTATTAAAATAAAGACCACATTAACTCGCAGAATCAGCACAGTTATTCGAGAAGAATGCTGTTCTTGGAAGAAAGAAAAGCACAAGTATCAAATTCGAAATTCGGAAATCGGTGAGCTTAAAAATGTTCTAGGTTATTGATTTTAATGAATATGGTTTTGTATCTAATTGTTTCGCCCTTCACGCAATCCGGTTTTTAGAGCACGCTCCCGCTAAATATGAGACAAGCTAAGACAAATCTTTCAAGCTAATGTTGCGCAATTACCTTTTTGATAATATTCCAGATCAAGGCTCTGTACCTATAATGTTGCTGTGAGTACAACATGTTATATCGATACCTCCAAAGAACACTACGTCAACTTAATTTTTGGACCTGTTCTGTTTTTAATTTGTTATTTGTTTCTTTTTTACATAAAATTCGGTTGGTTTTATTTTGAATTCTGCTTTTTATTTCCCTATTTTTTTATCTACACACATTTATCATAAACTCTCTATGATGTGTTCAAAAACCTCAAATTACGAACAGCATAAAGATAAACTATTTTGTTAGAACAAATTTCTTATCTGTGGAAATGTTATTATTGCTCATCAAATTCAATTTTATTATTACGTTCAAATTTCGAACGTCTCTGAAAAACAAAACGATTTGATTGGACCTCAATTGTAATATCAGTCGAGATGAAGTTTTATTCGAAACGAAATGTCAATAGCAAACAATTTTGACAAATTTTACGTTACTTGATATCGAACGATATGATAATTAGGGCCGACTGTAGTTTGTCTATGAATGAAAAAAAACTACGGTTGTGTGGCATGCGTGAGAAAAGTTTTTATTTGCCGCCATTTCGCCAGTCGCAACATGTGGTTCCTGAACACATCAGAGAGAGCTTATAATATGTTTATAGATAAAGCCGTATATGTAACTGTACATCATTAGGCATTAAAACATTTTAATGCATTTCATTATATACAGTCACATAAACTACAATTTTTACAAAATTCGGGGAGCATAAAATTAGTAAATAAATAGGTATGGCTGTTTACAAAAATAACAGACAATGACCAACAAATAAAGTTGACGTAGTGTTCATTGGATATGTCGATGTATTATTATAATATTATGTTTATTATATATTAATAAATATATTTGTTATGTATGTTAATAAATATATTTATTATGTATGTTTTGTTTATTGTACATGTATATTTAAGTATGTTTATGCTATATTATGTTTATTTTATAGCGCATAAATTATATGAATATTTTTTTATTATTGGTTTTTGTGAAACAGCTCCATTAGTTTACTATAAATAAGTTATTGGAATTGGGGAAGTTAATAAAACTAAACAAAAACGTGGATATTCCCTTTTGACGAACTGACTATAATTGAACTTATGTCTTTTTTTCATTGGAAGAAAAAGTTAGGTGAACCGCAGTCCAGTGGCGAGGTGTCTCGAGGATAAATCAATTCCCACCGGCTTGCCTAAAATTTTCTACGTATCATCAAATTATAAATATTTAAATAAATTGACTACATTTTGTGCTCAATTTTACGTGTACAATACAATTAACCAGTGAAATAAAGTGTACTGGTATCTTGTGTGCTAATAAGTGTTGTGTGTAATTGTCGCCAAGGCGCCACTTGTTAAGGCAAGTGTTTTTTTGTTTTGCTCAGGCTTTACTAAAGACACACCTCGCCACTGCCACAGTCCAAGTCAAGTTCGAATATCAAAAACGTTTTCCACGCTAGCGTGGAAAAAACGGTTTTGCGCGCAGTTTTCTAATAAGAAAGAAAACCTTTCTGAGCTAGTGAGGTGAAAATGTTTTTATTTGTGTTTGCATTTTTTTGAAAAAAACGAACACGGAAAATTTATCATTTATGGATCGTGCTACTTTTTCGCGGCCAAGGCCTGGAAAGTAAGAGCCTATACACACGGTGTACTTTGTACGAGCCGACGACGCGCGTTACATGAACGCGCACTTAGGATGCCGTAGAGGCTCAAATAGCATCACTAAAATTAAATTAATTTTCAAAAAGCATTATTTATCACTTAGTTAAGTATTCGTTATCCAAATTAAAATATATATCGTATTTAATTATGTATTACAAGCGATATTCTATGTATTGTATACAGGGTGTATCCGAAAGGTGCAGTGGAAATTCAAGGTCGAAGAGAGTTACTATCAAATAGTAAATTGGCATTGATTTTTGTAGAAAATTATGAGTAATTAAATTAATTTTATTTAAAAAAAATTACGAAAATTCGTCGATATCGGTATTAAAGTCGTGCTCTAACATCACTAACCTCACCCAACCATTTTGAAGTTAGTCGAAAATAGCGGGAAAATTTAATGTTCAATTTGTTTTTAATCAAAAATGGTACAGTATTTTAGAATTAGAAACATTTTTATACAATAAGATTAAATGGCTACAGTTTTGTTTTTGATTAATAAAAATAAAATGGATATTGACGCTGTCGGTCATTCTGTCATTGATATTCCGTGTTGTTCTTAATCTAAAATAATAAAATTGTAATGGCATTTGTAAGTAATTCAGAATATTATGAAATAATGCTGTGCGCCGGAGCAACAGACGGAAGTTTTAACCAAGCCCGTGAGAGATTTATCGATGGTAGACCAGAAGCTGAACGCTGTCAACTTCCTTCGAGAGCCTGCTTTCGGAATATGGTTTTGAGGCTTCAAACTACTGGCACATTCCAGGTTGATAGGCTAGAAGGTCGCCCAAGTGTTCGTGATCCTGACATAGAAGACGAGATCATTTCGAAAATAATCTGCGGACCAACACTCGCCGAACAGCTACAACTCTTGGGATGGCAAACCATGTGAATACAAAACAAATAAAACAAGCTTTGTTAGATGCACGTCTTTCATAAAGTATGCTTTTGTGTTTACTTTGAATTTTTATTTTTACTTTGTGAATCTTTATATTGTTTATAGAAATGTTAACTGTTGACATACTCAAAAGGTATTTTAGTGAGGAGCGACATTCTAATGGGTTATGTATACTCTGATCGTGTGATCGGTTAGTAGCGAAAACCTACCTTATAACCTAAATAACCTTCAACTTGTACACTTTGATCACGATATCAGTTGCATCTGCCCAATCACAGTACCATTTATCGCAACCGATCCCGCGATTCGATTGAACAGAAAAAATATTTCAAATAGTTTCCCAACAGATCATAATATTTTTGAAACAGTTTCATTTTTTTAATATATTATTCCAATGTAAAAAAATGAAAACTTATTGAATAATAATGTGATTTGTTGGGACTCCACTTAAAATATTAGGGGTTAAAGTATGAAATTGCCGTTTTATTGCAATAGGTTCTTTGAATTTTCATAGAATCTTCATGGTTTGAGGTTTTCGAATGAAACTTTTTTCAAATGGTTTCTGTGATTTTTTTTTT